GGGAGAAGGGCGGGGCTCCATCCCAGGACCCTGAGATCATGACCTGAGCCAAAGGCAGACACTTAACCCACTGAGCCACCCAGGCAGCCACCCGAGAACTGAGAGTTTTGTCAGGACTCTGACAACACGTCTGCCATCCATGCGGCAATGCTAACAAATCCTGCCCAGGTTCGACAGATGTGACAGCGAGTTTCTCCCCTTCTCCTGCGAAACAGATGGGAGAGTATAGCAGCTCCTCTCAAAGGCAGCTGAAGAAATGCACGCTGGGCGATGAAGCTGCCCCCCGTGAGAGCCAGGTGGCCCACAGCCCGAAGGGCCACAGGGTGGCATCGCTGCAAGCCAGACCTATCAGCCCGCCTCACTGCCAAATCCCAAACGGGAAGGAGTGTGAGTGTGGGCACGGGAGGTGTGATGGGCACAGGCACCATGGGGTTCCTGCGAAGATGGAGCTCGTTCAGAATAAAGCCACCTTTTTGGAAGAAAGGGAAAGAAAAAGAGAGCTTTTCTCCCTATAAATGCCTTTTAGTCCTTTCCCGTCAGGGATAGCCTACTGGATTTTAGATGACAATTAATTACTCTTCCGTATGGCTGCTGGAAAATTCAGAGACACTCAGAGTCTAGGATGCAACAGGAATATCATGCTCAGAGCCTCTGACCTGTAGAACCACAGAACCCGGCCCATGCCCCCTGTGTGTGCCAGCCAACACAGTACCTGGCACAGAAAAATGAGGCCAGCGCACGTTCCCTGTGCCCAATTCGGAATTTCTCCCACAGACAGAGTGGTGCTCTGGAGTTGGCTACAAACAGAGGGAATTTGGCCTGAGAAAAGCCTGCAGAATTTGGGAGTTTTAACAGCTGGTAAGCAAGAATGTTTTGATACATTTTCAAAAAATGGTCTTAGAAATTCTAGAATGAGCAGGACTCTTTTCTGACCCCAAACAACATATTGGTAGACAGATGCATGAAATGCAATTTCTAGTTTCTGTCTTCTTCTTTTTTTTTTTTAAGAAATATTATTCTCAAAAATAAACAACTTGAACCTTTTGCCAGCCCAGCATTCTCTGTCTTTGTCCTCACCAGGCAACGTGCTCACAGTCATTTCTATTCAGCAGTTATATATCACCCGAGCCCGCTGCCATCCCCGGAGGCAGGGAAGCATGGCCAAAGTAGCACTGGGAGCAGGATTCAGGGTCTTGGCTTGCAGCCACGATGGCCTCTCACACCCCCTGTCATGTGGATAGATGGCTGTGAGTCAGAAGGTGGCCCTTGTTGCTGCTGGGCTCTCCTACTGATGCTTATCCACCAGGCCCCCAAGCGTGCTCCTATCCTGTGCAGCTTTGTGGTGATTTCCAACATGGCAGCCACCCAGCCACGAGACCCCACTCACCCACCCACCCCCAGGGAGCAGAGAGCCTCAGGGAGCTAGAAACCTCTTCTCCCCCCCAGGGGTGTGGCAACCCCGGTCCGATCCTGCGTCCAAATTCACATGGGTAGTGCGTCACTGAAACCGGGGACGATGTGGGTAGTACCACTATCAGTTCACGTTTATCCAGGACTCCCTCTGTGAGCATCACTACCACGAAATGCCTCACTGTGCTTGGGCCAGGACCCCGTTCATCAAGGCGCACTCAAGGGAGCAGACAGAACTGAAGCAAGATTCCTGCCGGGCCACCCCAGAGCTCGACGACCTTGAGAAAGTCCGGCAACCCCTTTGGCCTTCACTCTCATCTGATAAATGGGGATACTTTTGCCCACAACACCCTCTCCCCAAAGATACTGCAAGTTTATGGCGAAATACCAGAGATAAGTGGATGTGAAAGCTCAGCAGACACTGGGATGCACACTCCATACATACAAGGCCTGGACAGGCTCCAGTCCAAGGTCACACAGCTGGTTCATGGCCGGCCTGCAGCGAAGGCCCAGGTGTCAGGACTCCCAGGCCAAACAGGCGCGGCCCACTGTTGCCCTTGGTTCAGCGGAGCACAGAGACCACCAGCTGGCCCAGAAGGCCACTCCGCGCGGGAACTCCGCACGGCTGACTCTCATCTCCCGAGGCGGGCTCCTCACCCCCACGTGGCACTGCTGCCCCCGTGTCTCGATTTTCACCACACACACACTCACACACACACACTTCACGCATACCTTCACTCCTCTAGATTATCAGCACTCACTGAACTGGTCCTGAAGGCGGGGATGTATCAACACCCTGGGAAATCCTGGAACCCTCCAGCTACCGCTATTCTTCAAGATGAAGATTTCTGGAGGTGGGTGGAAATTAATGAAATAAAAAGATGCCCTTGGGGTGGCAATGTGTTTCTCTGGCAAATTTTATTTCATTTGTGCAAACGGTGTGAAAGATCCGGTAACTCTGACTCTTTAAAAAGTGGGTCTTCTTCGATTAGACTAGATGGCACTGTGGTATCACCCTTTTACGACTAAGTAAAATCTCATTTCATGTCAGATAATGTCGCTTCGATTTGGGACCATCCAAAAGGGTGAACCCTCCCCTTGAGGATACTGGTTATCTAATGGAAATTTTCTGAGGGAATGTGCCAAGAGGATAGTGGCCACCAAATACATAATCGGGACCACATTTGTAAGGTGTCTTTAGGGACGGCGTCACACCCCAATCTACATGTCCAGAAGGATTTTCAAAGGCGCATGTGTCCTGTGGAGCTCTACACCTACAAGCTCCAGCAGCAAGTGAGATTATTTTCAATATTGCCGAATTGTTTGGGATCTTCTTAAATAAATCCCAGTATCTTAAGGTGACAATGACTTACACAATTCTTACAATGGACTGAGGCGACAACCTTCCTGGAGCCAAGGTTCTCTTAGGATGGAAAGAAGAAAATCTAGTAGGGCTGTAAAGGCACTGAACATTCAACAGATTCTGCCAGAATCCCAGCATTCCAGAAAGGCCGCTGTAAAGTGAGGGAAAGGAGCGTGAGCAGGGGTGAGCAGAGAGTCAGAGGGCTCCATTTGCTTGCGTCTGGAAAGAAGAAACTGCACTGGCTTTTGCATTCCGGGAGCCCTCTGCAAGGCATCTCCTTGTCCAAGGCACAGAGTAACCTGCGGCGGGGTGCGGGGGGAGGGATTGGAGCTGTTGAGGCAGCGGAGGTAGGAGTTGGGAGCGGGTCCAGGTAGGCAGCTGCTGAAAACAGGGCCCCTGGGGTCGCCTGATGGAGAGGCAGTGAGCACAGCTCACAGCCGTGTCCTTGCCTGCTCAAAGACCCTTCCAGACGCCCCCTGGCAATTAGACTCATCCAGTCCATCCCCTGGACTCGCCGGCCCGGCCCTGATGTGTTTTAGGGACAGTGGCATAATCGGGGCCCTGGCTGGAGCAACTCCAGCCCAACACGCCCTTCTCCCCCTCCCCCTTTTATGGCACTCCGTGACCTCCAGCAACCGGGCATTGCGGCTGCATGAAGGAAAATGCCCTAGCTTCAAAAGCAACTGGCTACAGGCTCTTCATTAAATCACCATTTTCCGCATCAGCCCCGGGGGTTCCCAGCGCGTGGGCTGCTGGTCCCCCACGCTGGGGCTCAGGATTTGTACATGTACATCTGGAGGTTTCTCAAGAGCGAACCCCACACGGGGTCGGGGCAGCGTCCCAGCTCGCCCTTCGGCATGCAAGGTGCCCCCTCGCACTCGCAAAGCGCTGCGGATGGCCCGAGTGCTGCCAGGAGTGGGGGGTGTAAGCTGGGTCCCACCAGCTCTCTCCGGGTGTCCCCAAACAGCGGCAGAGGAACACCCACTCGCCCAGGGAGAGCAGAACCAGAGGACAGAAAAGAGAGTGGCAAAAGTCAAGGAAAAAGAGAAAAATCAGAAAGGGTAAAAGAGAAAGAACGAGAAGCAAAGTGAGAAGAGAGGGAGAAGGCAAGAGCGAGCGGCCAGGGACCGACATGTACCGGAGCAAGAGAAAGAGAGAAAGCAGATAGACGAAGTGAGAAAAGGAGGTGGGGGGAGAATGCGGGAGCGGGAAAAGGAAGAGAGGGCAGAAAGGAGGCTTCGGAACCGGGGTGCAGAGAGAGACGAGAGGGACTCAGGGACCTCACACACACAGACCGGTTCTTGCCGGCGCTCGAGCGCGGAGTCCGCGTGCGGTACCCTGTCCCGGCGGCGGCCGAGGGGGGGCGCTCGTTCGGGGCCTCCCGGCCGCCCCCCCTCCCGCCCCCCGCACGCACTCCCAGCCACCGAGCAGGCCAACCAGCCGACAGACAGACGAGCCGTCCCGGGCCGCAGCGGACAGGCTTCCTGCGGCCGCCACGGCGCCGTGAGCGTGCGCGCCAAGGAGTCTGGCGCCCTCCCAGTCCGGGCGCACCCGCCGGGCCCAGAGGTGCGCACTGGGGTGCCGGCAGCGGCCAGCCGCGCCTCCCCGCCCTCCGCCCGCCCAGGCCCAGGTCCGCTCCCGCGCTCCAGGGCCCCGCTCGGCCGCGGGCGCGGCGCACTCACCTGGACGGTCTCAGTCTGGCGTCGCGCTTGCCGTCCACCACGGCAGGCACGCAGCTGGTGAGCTCGGTCCAGTCGGCGTGCAGCCCGCAGCTCCAGCCCGTGGAGAACCTGGAGAAGAGCCAGGTCTCCCGCTTACCGGGCCGGTGGCAAGTGCATTTCTTCTGACCCACGCGGCACTCGCACGGCTGCTCCAGCTGGATGTTGCGCACCAGGTGGCGGCCGAAAGTGGTGCCTCCGGTCTTCTGAATGTGCAGGAACACGATCAGGTCATCGCCCTTGATGTCGAAGTCTACCTTGCGCAGGAGGTCGCGGCGGCTGAAATTGTAACGGGGCACGAACCTGGCGGAGCTCTCATCCTCCGAGCGGTACGGGTCCGGCATCGGGGAGCTGAATGCCTGCAGGCGGAGGAGCTGACATTCTGTGCCGGGGCACACGTACTGGAGGACGATCACGGCAAATAGGAAGAGCATCACCAAAGCCAGCAGCAGCTTGTTGGATTTCTCATCCATGTTCCCGACGCTGGGGGAAACCCAAGCTCGTTACGTCAATCCCGCAGTTCAGCCCGCGCTCGCCGTGCGCCCGCACCGCCCCCTCCCCCTGGCGCCGCCGCTGCGCCCCCTTTCCCCCTCCCCTCCACACCGAGTACTCCACGGCGGCGGCGGCGGCGGCGCCCTTCCCCGCTTCCTTCCTTCCCGGCAGGCTCAGCGCTGTGGCTCCTGCCGCACACCCCCCTCCCCCCGACTCCTTCCCGCTGGCCGCCTGCCCTCTCCCCCCGCCCCCCCCCTCTCCGCCGGAGCTCTCCGGAGCCGCGTCGCGGGCTCTGGTCCCCACGGGACGCCGCCTGGCCCGGTCGCCCCCACTCCCCAACTCACACCCTCCCCCCGGGTCCGAGCCTCCGCGCGTCCCGCTCCACTCTCGGCGGCTCCCATCCCCGTCCCGCTTCGCCCACCGGACTCTCCCCGGCGCCTGTGCCCCCAGTCTCCTGGGCGCGCACGCCGCCGCCTCCCCGCCCGCCCGACTCGCGGGCTCCCTCCCCGTGCGCCCCGAAGCCCTGCCCTTGCCCGCGCCCCGTTGCCCACCTTGGAGGCCGCCTCGAGTGAGCTCCGAGCCGGGCGTTCGGAGTTCCCCCGGGGGGACGAGTCCGCCGGCAGCCCGACTAGCGAGCGGAGACGCTGCGCTGCCGGTGCCCGCGGAACGGCGGGGAGGGAGCCGCAGCGTGGCCAAAGGCGCGCCGCGCCCCTCCGGAGCCCCCGAGCCCGGCCGCCACCGGCCAGCTGGAACTTTGCGCCCTTTCCTTCCCCTCACGGCTGCCTTCCCTCCCCGCACGGCTCCTGCGCGCCCCGGCCCGAGAGCGCGAGTCCCGCTTTCGCCTAAAACGTACCTGGCTAGGGGGCCGAAAATCTTGGAGAAGATCGCACCGAGCACGTGCTTCAGCGAGTGGCCCAGGGCGGCCAGGCCCCGAGTGAGCAGGGCCCGGCAGAGGGAGCCCAGGTCCCAGCGTCTCCTGAGGTCGTGCATCCGCCTGCGGCGGCCTCGGGGCAACAGCGCGAAGAGAGGGGTGCGCGCGGCTCCCGCCAGGGAGGAAGACGCCTTTAGGGGCTCGTCCAGGAGCGGCTGGGAGTTGAAGCCGCGAGACACACCCCTAGGAGGGCCCGCGCGGACTGAGGCGGCGACTGCTCCGGGCCGGCTCGCTGCCAATTCGGCCTCTACTCTGGAATGCCGGCGGGGACAGGTGGTGCGGGCGGGCGCTCCTCGCTCCGGTTGCAGCGGCGGCCCGAGCGCCCGGGCTGCACACGCAGGCAGTGCCATTCCCCCCTTCAGGCAACTCAGGGTACTAAGGATCGGCAGCGAGCTTGAATTTATGTAATAACGCCTCGCGCCTAAGAGCTCGAGCCACTTCACAAGCAGAGGACCTGGGTTTCTGCCTGTCTTGGGGAGGACTTGAGGTCACTCCAGTGAGCGCATCACTCCACTTTGGCTGGCAATTTCAACCTCCCCTAAAATAGCAAAGGCGCAAATTGGACCTTTTCCCTCTGTCTTTGCCAATTTCCATTCTCCAGCGGAAGCGGGGGCATTTTCTGAAAAGGTAAGTCAGCATGAGGGAAAAGCATGAGCAAAAAAAAAAAAAAAACGTTGCAGAACGGGAATCAGCTTTTTCAGAGCGGAGACTCACCCTTACTCCTCTTCTTGCTGAATCCCCGGCATCCAGCCCCGTGCCTACAGGAAGGCTTCACTCCTATACGGTTTAGTGAAGGAAAGATACACGACTAAATACTACCTCAGAGTGGGGCCATCGAATCCAAGATGATGTGGTAAATGAGGAAACCGAGGTCCAGAGAGGGAAAGACGTTTGCCCGGGGGTCACACAGCAGAGCCCCGGGGTTTAGACCCAGAAAACCAGGCACCATCCAACCCATTCCCTGACACTGACACCACCTCCTCTCATAAATAGGTGCAGACCATCCTCAAGCCCTGGTGTTAAAAGGCACTTTTTGGCTGTAGGGACCACAGATGTAAGGATGAGCAAGGAAAGAGGGGATGTCCCTTCAGGACAAGGTCCCCGGGAGCTCAGGGCTCAGACTGTTCCTATCTGATTGATCAGGTGGGGCTTGCTGTCTATCAGGAACTGATGTTTCCGCCATGGAGCCCCACGGCTGCAGAGGGGGGCACGGGTGGCGCAATGTTTCAGAGCAGCGCTGTCGGGGCTAGGGAGAGGGGCACAGTGAGACAAGTAGGGGGTGGGGACAGGTCCCTCAGGGACAGGCTCGCCCAGTATCTCCCTCAGAACATTTGATCCCTCTGTGCAGTGAAGCAGCAAGCACCGGTCTGAGAATCTATCACATCCTTGCTGGGCAGCCCTCAGATAATCACTAGCCCCTCCTGAGCCTCAGTGTCCTCTTCTGTAAAATAGGACTCATTCCTCCTTGGTAACCATCTGGGTCACCGTGAGGATGACCCTTGGGCCGTTTTACGCGCTGTGTTTACCTGCTGCCCTCAGCTCGGATGTGCCCGCTGAATCAGTCACAGGTCAACTAAGGAAGGGGTCCTTCTTGGGCAATCTCACAGCTGCGCCCCCTGCCCTTACCTCCCCCCATACTTCTCCAGTCCTGGCTGGACTTCCATGTGCCCCCAAACCTACCGGGGACACTGGGGGACCTTTGTCTGGCTCCAGGCAGGAAGGGTTTGGGGGAATCCTGCATTTCAGGCATTCCACCTGTCCCAGGGCTCCAGGGGGACATTCTAACCCATAAACTTATGTAAGGAGCCAGACGCAGCAACTTGGAAGGTAGACATCTTGGCTTCCCTAAGAGCTCCCCGGCTTCCCCCTCCCCCCACCGCCGCCCCGGCAGGCTTGTGGGACCTACCTGCTCCCCCTGAGGATGGGTGAGGGTGTGAGTCAGAGGAGTGAGAAACCCTGGGGGTGGCCAGGGAGCTCAGCCTGCCGGCTGTCCCCCCCATTTCTCGTTGGCCACCCACAGCAGTCGGCCTCTTCGGGCCAGCAGGTGGCTCTCCTCGTGGTGCCACATGATGACTCTCTGCCCTCACACTCTTACAACGGCATTCGGTGGGTCCCTGGGAAAACAGTTCTGGAATGGGTGGGTCACACATTCATGCCCCCAGCAACTACTTGGAGTTTCTGGTATGGAAACCGGGGCAAGTGCCCCGGGTAGAGATGTGGGGAGGGAAGGCAAACAGTACAGGGGAAAATTGGGATTTACTCTTTCAGGTCATGAAAAGGAACACACACACGTGGGTGTGTGCACACAGACACGCACACACTTAACACTCTGACTCTCGGGGAAAGAGGCAGTCAGATTGGTAGTTGCAGAGCATAAAGGAGGGACAGGATGGTGCCGTAAAGCCCAGGTTTGGGATCTAGTAATGAATCCACACAATAGCTCGCCGGAGGATATTTGCCTTTACAAGCCTTTCCTCCACCCACCTCATGCTCTAAGAAAAAGAAATGAATCTCTCTTCATTTATCAGGGCTCCTGGAAGTGGAAGGAAGTGTCTTTGAGGGGACCGGGGGTGGGGGCCCCACAAGTCTCTGAGGACCCCTCCTGGGGCGAAGAGGCTCCCTGCTAAGAAGAGGGAATTCTTCCTGTGTGTCCCCAGAGCCTTGTTCTGCTGAGGCCAGGCCTGGGTCTTGGCAGGAAGCTCCAAGGCCTCTTACAGTCCTGGGCTGGGCCCACCTCCCAGAAGCCGGTTCCTCTCAGGAACTGAATAACAAAGATCCCAATACTCTAGAATCAGCCCTATTTTGGAGCTCGGGGGCAGGGGGGAGGGTGGGGGGCGGGCAAAGAGAAAGAGAACAGGCTGGGTTATCGGGTCTTTGGTTAGGCCTCTCAGTATTTCTTAAACCAGCCTGAGTTTCTACATGTGTGCATATATTTGGGATTCAGTACTTGGAAGGTGAGGAGGACTCTGCAGCCTGAGCCAGGCTCCTGGTTGTCTCCACAGTGTGCTTTGCTTTTCATTATTTTTCCAGAACTGTCCTTCCACGGTTTCCACAAAAGGTTGAGGATTCTGGGAGCATAAAGGTCAGCCTGGCTTGCATACTAAGCAGTGCACTTCCAGACATCCGTTTGGTTGCTGGAGTCAGAGAGGGCAGCCCGGTGAGTTGGCAGAACACGGGCCCAGGAGTCCAGAGACCTGGGTTCTTGTCTCGCCCCTGCCACTCACAGCGAGGAAGCCACTTGCTGGCTCCGGGACTCAGCTCCCTGTTTGTAAGAAGGCCAAGTTGATGCTGTGATTCAAAGGGCACGGTTCTGCTCCTGACTTCCAAGTCACGTGATTTCTGGTCTTCCTCAAGGGCCAAAGTGCTGCCAAACACTCAGTGCCTCCTCGCGGGGGGTCAGTGGTGGGGGAGGGGTAACCAGAGGCTAGTCCTTGATTCCTTCCATCTAGTTGTTAGAGCCCACCAGGCAATCAGCAGCTGGACTTGTTCTGGGCCTGTGTTACACGGGTGACAGCAGGGTCCCCTGTTCGAATTAGAACAGAAACAGTGAAAATTTCCAACTGAAGAAATGCTGGCAGTCTTTATAGAGAGCATAAAACACTAAGGAAATGTGCATTTCCCCCCCTTATCCTGAGCATTCTCTTCCGCCCTGTTTCTGCAGCTGTCTCTCATTTTTTTCAAGAACGTTCATACTTTCAATAATAGGCGATTTTTGTCACAAAGATTGAAGGCATGCAAACTATCAAGTCAGTTCGTTTCTGTTTTGATGCGTCTCTCCGAAATGAGTGAACAGCAGTACTTAATGAACGCGCCGTTCTGAAATTTCAGCTCTGATATTATAAACAGGTTGGATGTGTTGGATACATCACTGTCAACAGCCCGCCCCACAAAACACTTGAGTTTTCTTTGTCTAGCCTTACAGAACTTGAGGCTCAAGGAATGAAAAGAGGAGGATAATGCCAGGCTGCTGTATACACATTCGGGGTGCTATGTGAACGCATGCAAACCAGTGACCACACATCCCCCGAGGAGGGATCCCCACTATTTCTCTAACAGCGGAATTCTCACTTCTCGCTGAATGGAAGAATCTGTTCATGCAGGCAGGGCCTTGAAAGCTAGGGAAGCCAAGGCTTGGCAACCATAGGCAGCAGGCTCCACTCAGCTCCCGTGACAGCCACTTAACTTCTTTGTGCCTCAGTTTACATCCTTATAAGACAGCCTGACCAGGTACCTTCAGGAAGCTGGTTTAGGGGCATAGTAAAGAGGAATGCAATCTCAAGTCGCTTTTTATTAACGAGGAGAGAGCAGAGATTTGGAGAAGACGTTGCTCTGGGATTTAATCAGGGCCTCAGTTTTGTTATCCATGAAAATGGGACTAGTGACAGCCACCTCACTGGGTTGTCAGCCACTGAGAACACTTAGTCTAGTTTCTGGAAAAGTAGATCTTCAGTAAATGTTCATTTCCTCTCCCTTTTAACTCGGAGTATCTTTGGTTCGAGCACTTTGTTATAGTTTCCACAATAATAACATACACAGATTTGTTTATTTTTTTAAGATTTTATTTATTTATCTGAGATAGAGAAAGAGAGAGAGCATGAGCGGGGGGAGGGGGGAGGGAAGCAGAGGGAGAGGGAGAAGCAGACTCCCTACTGAGCAGGGGGCTCACCGCCAGGCTTGATCCCAAGACCCCGGGATCATGACCTGAACTGAAGGCAGACAGTTAACTGACTGAGCCACCCAGGCGCCCCAACCTACACAAATTTAATGACTGGCCCTGGGTGGCGGGCGATAGGCCTAATTGTGACCCAGGGTGGCTTTGCCGCCCCATCCCATTTCTTTATATGTTCCTTTTTCTTCTCCTACCTCTCTCTACCTCTCCAGTGTTCCCCCGGTCTGTATCCCATGGAGGAGGAAGGCCTCTGATCCATTTAATCACATTGAGGAGTGGGACATGTACGTGTGACCCCTCCCTGGAGACACTTACAAGGGAGGAGGAAGATAGCAAAGCTTCGCCCTAATGAATGATCCCTCCAATGAGATACCATGAACTACATAACATGGGATGCTACATACAGTTGTCGACCCTTGAACAACCCAAGGGTTTGAGGCGTTGACCTCACACAAAGTCAAAAATCCACATATAACATTTAACTCCCCAACACTTAACTACTAAAAGCCTACTGTCGACGAGAAGCCTCACCAATAACATAAACAGTTGGTCAACACGTATTTTGTATGTTATACGTATTTTTCTTCAGGATTTTATTTTTTTAAGTCATCTCTACACCCAACGTGGGGCTCAAACTCACAACCCCGAGATCAAGAGTCGCACGCTCCACCTACTGAGCCT